CATTAAGGGTCTTATTCTCAATGTTGAAATACCCCTAATTATCCCCAAAGTAAAAGTCTTTGATAGCGTAGCACACATGTATCAGTAGAGTTATATAGAGTTAAGAGCCAGGCAGTAAGGGAAAGGGGGTCTTCTACATAAAGTGTATCTGAAGTCAGTATGGTAGCACCAATATCCACTGGAAAGAAAAGAGTGGTCCAAAGTTCTAGGTATTGGGCATGAGAAAGTAAACAAAGGCTCAAAGCAACAAGAGCAAAGATGCATTGATATTTCTACAAAGAGGCAGCTACCTCAGGGACAACTCCTGAGCAGACACAGAGGCATAGTTCCCATCTCACAAATACTCTAGAGGAAGCTTTACCTTTTTTCCATTATTATTAGTTGTTATGATTCTGATTGTCATTAAATTATTCCATAAATATTTATGCAATTGAATAAATGGAATAATTTATTTACTCTACCAATATTTACTGAGTGCTGAGTCTCAGGATATACAATACTTGCCCCCAAACATGTACATATATATATTCCCATCTGCACACCCATGCACATGTATTCCCATACCTGCCCATATAGAAGTATGTTTGTACACACTGATACATGTACACATGTATGCAGAGTCACCCAATGTACACACACACATCCAGGAGGATACACACTGCACAGACTTAGAAGATCAGACATAAGCTACAGTGTTGATGTCTTCAGATCTCAGAAGTTTGCCCAGGTAGCCCTGGCAAAGGCAGACCCTCTTGGCTTCGTGGATGCTGACTCCTCCCAGTTATGTGCTCTGGCTCCGAGCACACCTGCAAAGCAACAGCCCTACTTGCTTTCCTTTCCTGAAAGCACCAGGGACCTCCCAAGGGGAGTTCTGAGCCAGAATCTTTTACTTCAAAGGGACAGGAGCCATTTGTCAGATACCTAGGTCTTGGGCTAAAGATTGCTAGGTCAGTTTCAGTCCCTGTGAAATTTCACCTCCATCTTCTGCCTTATGCTTTCCGTGTATCCCACGTTGTCCGTTACTTGGCTGGCTGTTGGAGCACACAGAGAGAGCATTCTTCTGAGGGTTGTTAAGGCACAAGAAAAACCAAAAAGAAATAAAATTGCGTGGATGAAGAATGCTAAATATAAAAGCAGATAAAGACTCACATGGAAGAGAGAAAGGAAGCCCTGAATAGTAGGTGAAGAATAAAATCAATTGTCAAGGGACATGATGGAGTAGAGACAAAGGATTAGAACACTGAGCAAGTCAAATCCAAAGATTAGGAATCTCAGCTGGTAAATGTTGAGAAAGCAGTGGGAGAGTCTGTTCCTTGCATTCACAACCTGGTGTTTCTTGCCAAGCAGCTTATTGAAAACTCCAATGAGCACACCCAGCTAAATAGAATAAAAGGCGTTTTAAATTGTACATTTAAAACACAAATTTAAAGGTAAGCATTAAAAAGAAATCAAAATATACATAGGTAGCCAACAGGTTTCACGTTCTCATATGTGTATGTATTGGACATCTAGAAGACCAGATTGGATATCTGGCTGAAATGTTTTGTTTTTCCTTGAGTTTTGGGGCCACATAAGTCCAGCCTGGGTATGTACTTGTGCACTGAGAAAACCCGGTAAATGGTAAACCAGAACAATCAACGAGAAATAAAACAGATGGGGTTTCTAAAAGAAATGAACAAATGACAAAAATTGAGGCTTTCTCTTGCAACACACAAAAATTAATATATTACATTTCCATGTCCTTTTTTGGTATTTTTCTTCCTGTTTTAGGGAACAGAAACATTTTATCTTAGACATTTTTGTAAGTACAGGCTAATTGTTTCCAGCTCAACTTCCCTATATTTGGAGGATTTTCACAATGACAAAACCATTCTCTATTTTTCAGTCTCTTTCTTTTCTTATATAATGAAAATGTTGGTGATCTGCGGACATGTATAATCAATGAGGTTATCAATATGATAGTAAAAAAAGAAATTGTTTTGTTACCTTCAAAATAGTCTGTACTCATTATTACATAATTAGCAAATAAAATACTTACCTGCAATTAACATGAATAAGGAATAAATAGGAGCATTTTGAAATTAGCTATCAATATGCTTAGTTTAAGTTCTTTTTTAAAATTTAACCCGTTTAGAACCTTTTAATACTTACTACCCATTACCAGAGATAGTTGAGTACAATTTGACTCAGTCAATAAAGCTATTTAAGACTATGGACTAATTGCAAAAAATGTTGAAGATAATATAACGATTTATAAATATTTTTATATTAATAGTAAACCAACCAGGATTTATTCCCTGCTCTTTACTTCAAAATACTTCATAGAGTGGAGTCCTATAGAAGCCAAGGGAAGGATGTATTGGTTTACAAAACCAAACACCATAGAATGCAAGTCAGATAACTTCTGAAAAACTCTCCATGATCTGGGAAATAGGAGATCCTTGGCATTCCTTTCTGCAAGACATGTCGAAGGAATGAAAAGAGCAAGATCTAAGTTACTTAAGGTTAAAGACTAAGAGCTGGGTAGGTAGAAGCTGAGAGTAAATAAAGGGAAAATCTCCTTCTGGCTGTACCAGTTAGCAAAGCCTAGGTGACACTATGACAACAAATAACCTCTAAGCATCAGTGGCTTCCTGTAGATTTGTTTCTCACTTATGCTACATGTCCACCATGGGTCGGATGGAAAGTCTCGTAATCAAACACAGGTAGCTGAGCCCACAGAGTCTCCATCTCAGCATATTCATTCACAGTCTCCACGGTAGGGACAAACAAGATGGGGCCAAAACACAGCAATTTAAACCTTCAACCTGGGAAAGACACCACTGCTTCTCCCACATCAAAATAAGAATGTCCTACCCTTTGCATTTTGTGCCTGCTTTAGAGTTATTAGCCCTGGAGGCCTTAAATGTATAGATGTGTATTCACATGCGTTTCCATCAGTAGGTTATGCTTCCTTGAGGGTAAGAAGTCTGCTAATCAACTTTTTCTCATTCCAGTGCCTACCAAGATGTCTGTCCAATTGCATACATCTAGGTTTATTTTAATGCAAAATTGCTGGGTCTCTTTCTTTTTTTCTTCTTAAGTAATTTCACACAGATTAGGGGCCCAGCTACAGAGCTGACAGATGGCATTGTGTATAATCAGCAGACATCACAGAATTTGGAATGTCGGAGAGAATTGTCCTTACGCAATCAACGGACTGAGACAAGGCCTTCATGGATATAATCCTGACAGTTGCTTACGCAGAGTGTCCCATCCCATCTTTAAATCCACCCCCATTCCCAGCCCTACTCCCAACTCCCAGGAGTCTTGGTTTACTGCCCTGGAGAAAACCAATCTATGAATCAGAGAATGTCAGCTCTGGCAGGGATCTCAAAATGTCCCTAATCCTTATGTTTCTAAGGAACTTAGAGTTCAGCGAAGATGATCTGTCACTAGAATCAAATGAGATCACCCTAAGGGAAATCCTACTGCATGTCAACCAATAAATTACCTATTCTACACACATTATCACATTCTCTTCTATAAACAAACCCATGAGGTATGTGTTCCCAGCACTTGCCGGGGAAAAATAAAAGCTCCAAAATTGAATTTTCTCCATTATAACATTTCCTCACACAACTTCTCTTAAACTTTTAGCTCATACTACAGCTAGTCTTCTGGCAAGTAATAAATTAAATAAAAATTGGGTTGCTTTATATCATACCTGTTATCAAGTGTCTCTACTCAGCCGGGCAGGCTCACCCTTTATGTTGTATATACTAGATAAACCTAGGTGATTTTTATCAGACTTATATGTGATTTCTTTAAAATATGTGGACTTCTCATTTGAGATTCAGAAAGGTAATAACTATAGAAATAAGTAGACAAAATAAGACTTTTTTTCTAGAGAATGTTTTCTGTTGGTATCCAGGAATACATAATTTCATTGCATTTGGGAGAAAGCACCCACGTTTCCTGTTGCTGCACTATATAAACAAAGTTGGGAACCTTGCTCCACTCAAGCTCTTTATTTATAGATGAGGAAAGCAATACTTAGAGAAAAGAGGGGACTTACCCTAAGCTACAAAATAATTTAGTGGCAGAGGCAAGACTAGAACTCACTCAACTCATTCCCTTAAATCCACATTTAGTGCTCTTCACTCCCACAACACCAAAATGGCGCACCCATGCTTAGGTCCTGGAATCCGGGTTCTCTTAGTTAGTGACTATTGTTAGTGTGCAGTAACAATTTATGCAAATTTGAATTCTGAAAAGGCCATCAGGAGGGGGAGGTGCCTCAATAGAACAATTTCTCTCTAAATATACACTTAACGTTTACAAGGAGAAATAAAAAAAAAAGAAAAATAAATGCCCAAGTGGCAGGGGATTCCCATTAGTGCCTAGCAGGAATGTACACCAAACAAATTCACGTATTTTGTTGTCATTACTGTTATGATGTGTATCTGTGGGCCAAGTTCAAGAGCCATCATCATCAACAGGTATGGGTGGAGCACCTACTCCAGCAAGACACCTACCACCTGCAGCAGGAACTACAAATAGAAGTAGTTGGGATCAGGGACAAGGAGGTAGAGCTATGTGCCACTCTAAGAAAAAAAACAACTTTTAACTCTTTTCCAATTCATCCAAATCCCTCGAATTGATGAACCAGACAACTCACCACCCACCACTGAGAGTGACATATGAATGAACTAAAAGTTCTAGGGAAAAAATGGAAACAATTTCTAGGTCTTGAGATCAAATCCCAGCTGCATTTTTCAGATGTGTAACCTAGGGAGTTATCCGAACTCTAAATTTCAGTTATTTCTCTGTAATTTGGAGATTATGAGATGTAAATGAGATGGCACAGGTAAGGCAGCAGCACGTGGCAGGTGTTCAGAGATTAGTCACCTACTAATTGCCTCTACCCCAAAGCCCTCAGTTTCACCTTGCTTGTATACTGTTGCTTTGGGAGAGTCCCATTTCTAAGTGACACTGTCCCTTTCACCAAAGATGCTTACCTGGATCCCACACAGATGCTTCCCTCCATACTAATTCCTTCCCTTGGCCATCAAGCCAAAGCTGCGATGCACAAAAACACAACAGGTGAAGGCTGACTCAGCAACTCACAACGCTCTTTCCTGGGTGCAAAAACTAAAGCAAAAAGAGTCTGTTAGAAACCCTTTATTTTTTGAAACTCAGAAACCTCACCCACTGAAGCTAACTGAAAAGGCTGATGAGAAATCAATAGCATTTGATTGTAAACCTGTCAAATGATAGTGATGGTAGTACATTATTGGCGGCCCTCAGGTATTGATTTCTGTCCCTTTCCTTTCTCCATCATCGCACGCCACCTTCATACTAATAACAGATTCTCTTTCTTCTAAATTAATCTCCAGGCCAGAGAAATCAATAGTATTTACCATGTGTAAATTTTTCTACTCTCCAGAGTCCACCGTTCCCACTGCTTCAAACTTGAAGAGAGGTGCCAGTTACAGAGCATGCTATAAGGAGGGATTTTTGATAGTCAAAATGTGCACTGACGCTCCTCAGAGCAAGGCTGGGCCAGTGCTAGCAAATAACAGAGAAGAAGAAAGAAACTCCAAGGCCCCCATGTATGTTTATTTATTATTATTTTCATTATTATTATTATTATTTGAAATGGAGTCTCACTCTGTCGCCCAGGCTGGAGTGCAGTGGTGCAATCTCAGCTCACTCAGACCTTCACCTCCTGCATTCAAGCGATTCTCCTGCTTCAGACTCCCAAGTAGCTGGGATTGCAGGTGCCCGCCACCATGCCCGGCTAATTTTTGTACTTTTAGTAGAGATGGGGTTTCGCCGTGTTGACCAGATGGGTCTCAAACTCCTGACTTCAAGTGATCCACCCACCTCAGCCTCTCAAAGCGCTGAGATTACAGGCATAAGCCACCGTGCCCAGTCCCCATGTATGTTTAAATGATGGAAATAGGGTTTTTATGTAAAAAGAGATTTTGGAGAGACAAAAGATGTCAGCCATCCAAAGCCTAGTTTCATTTCATAACAGAAAAAAAAAAAAAAATAGACATAGGTAAGCTTTTCTCCTCCTCCAAAATTTTAGGATTAGGCCAGATATTAGATCTGGAAAAGACAAGAAAGAATATCTAATTCTTTGAGTTCCATCTTTGGGTTCTGATTTGAAAATGATTATGTTTGCCCTAATTATTACATTCTTTTAAAATGCAATATTCTAATTAGTTTTTAATTTTAAATGACACTAAAGAAAAACGTGAGTTTTTCTTTAAGAAGTAAACGTGGCATAATTTCAAAGCATTTGAAAACCACTGATCCTGTTCGACTCCTTTAATCTAGCAGTAGGAAGTTGAGCCCAGCAAGAAGTGAGTCTGGAAGTCCACTCACCGCAAATGACAATTATTTTATGATCGTACCAGTAATAATTATAATAATGGATTTATTTTATTGAATATTTACTCCTATGACCAGTTTGGATAGGCACTTTACGTAAGTGTTTTCAATTCTCAGAGCAATCCCCTATGGTAGGGCTACTATTATAACCCTTTTAAAGCTGGAGAAACTGGACTCAGAAATGTTAGGCAATGTATCCAAGATCACGCAGTGAATAGTCAGGGGATCTGGGATTGATACCTAGTCTGTTTAGTTCTGGATCATCTTTTGTGTTTCAAGAACCATGCTGACTTTGCAGATACTTCTAGGAACCTAGATACTTACAGGAAGTTATAGGAACCCAGAAATTTCACCTTCTGAATAATTAACGTTCTGTGCTCAGGACTGAGGATTACCTAAAGATGGTCTTATTGTGAAACAAGACATGAATATACAAGGAGATGAGTAAAAGCGATATGGTACAAATATTTAGTGACTCAGTGAGTGAGGAATTAGGGTACTAGGAGCAACAGAGGAATTAGTAGGAGCAACAGAAAAGGCTTTAAGAAAGACTGGATAGTTTTTGATAGGAGGAAACAAAGGGAGATTATTTCAAAGTGAAATGGTTAATCCAAACCATAGAAATAGGTAAACATAAAATATGGTGGGGGATTGCAAGTAAATCCTGGAACCATGAGGTTCATGTACCAGACCAGAAGAAATGAGATTGGAAGAAGAGGAGGAGATTGCATCAGGAAGGAAGACAACTGCTGGGCCAAGAGAACTTAGATCGTAGGGCAGAGTGTGGAACACAGGATGCAGGAAAGTTCCCCAAACAGTTATTTTAATGGCCTTGATATCACCCTACAAAGACCTGGACTCTGATGTTTAAAAAACAAAGACAAATGAGAGAGGCATTGTGACAAAAAAAAAAAAAAAAAAAAAGAAAAGAAAAGAAAAAGAAAAAAACATGAATAGGTTCAGGAAACAATAGGGATTGGGAGACAAAGAAAAGGCATTGGTTATAGATGGTTCACAATGATGCTTATGGAATGGAGATTGTTGTAGCACCATTAGGAAAATAACAGAAATGCTATGAAGTAGATGAGAATCCCTAATTTGTACAGTGCTTTTTATTTACAAGTTTCTTTAGCATATGTCTCTCAGAATGTCTCTGAAAGATTAGCAAGTTAGATATTATTCTCACCACTCTACAAATGAGCCCTCAGAAGCCAAGATCAAATGGCGAACCCGAGACGCTTTGATCTTTTGATTTGGAGTCCAAAATCTCTTACAGAGTTCAGGTAATCAGTGCAGTGAAATGTGAAGTATGAAGGATCAGCAGAACGCCAATATCCAGGAGCTGAAGACGAAACAGAAGAGAGTGGGTAGGCATCTTCCAGACAGAGACACTGATGTCCATGACAACATCACATGTCTCATATTGCGAATCATCATTTTGGTTCATTGAACTGTCTCCCTCCCCTGACTAACACAGTGACCTCCTAACAGGTATCTTTTTTGCAGCCCTTGGCCCTTTCGGCATAGTCTCAATGTAGTTGTCAGAATGAACCTGCTGAAATATAATAGCTTACATCGGTCCTCTGCACCACGTGAGTGGAGTGCAAAGACCAACGTCAGCAGGCCCCAGGGACCGGCCCTGTCACCTTGCTGACCTCATTTCCTTAGCTCCTCACTGTGCTCCCTCTACCCTGCAAACTGGCTCCTGGCTGTGACTCAAACCCATCAGGCTGGCTCCCACCCCAATGCCTTTGTGCCTGCTATCCCCTCTGCCTACAACAGCTTTCCCAGACCAGATGGTCACTCCTTTAGTTCTCACCTTATTAGCCCTTCCTGGCTCCTCTATTTAAAATAACACCCCTGCCACCCGTCTCAGCTTTAGTGTTCTCCACCAAACTTGCCTGCACCTCACATACTATATATTTGTTTGTTATCTCACTCCCAATTCTGGGCTGTGACCTGATGAAAGTAGATTTTTGTCTTTTTTGTTCACTGCTATACCCCAGTGTCTACAAGAGGTTCTTGTATACAGTAGGATATTTTAAAATATTTTTCAGGTGACTGAATGGGTGAATTCTATAGTATTGTGAAGTTTTCTTGTTTGTCGTAACATATATAATTCTCACATGGCCCAAAGGGCCCATTTCTTTGTCAATATGTCAGTAGTTGTCACTTAATGACCTGCCAGGTGCTAGTTCCTGGGACCCCCGACCTTAACCCATTTCAGTCTCTCAGTCTCCTCTTTTGTCTGCTCCACATGTGGAGAGCAGAACTGAAAGAAAGGCAACTTCCAGTTTTTTCATACTCAGACTAGTGGTGTTAACACAAGCATTTAACCTCCCCAAACATCAGATACTTTGCAGTAAAATGGGGATAATAGTAGCTTCCCCCTGGGCTTGAGAACTGATTAGGGTTGATGGTTAGATGTGATATGAAAAATGATTTTTGAAATTAGTGTAACCTATGGGCCTGTACAAATTAAACACATGGAATGTCTTTTAAGCCAAAACTCTTAATCATGTAATTGCTATTTATGCAGCAGAACTTAGCCTGGATTTTGGATTCCGTCTGGAAATTGATACTCTGCATTCCTGCAGGAAATGAAATTCTGTGAGAGGAGATCTTGCTCAGTCCCTTCTAAATTAGACCTTCATTTGATTTAAAGAGCTAAGACTTTCTAGGATGGCACTGCCAGATGCAAACATAAGCATAAAAGTTCTTTTAAAAGTCAGATACGAAGATTTGGTAATCGTTCACTCTCCTCAATTATCCAATTAGCCATGTGTTTTGGAAGAACAGCTAGTTGTACCTTCTTCACAAAGCTCGCTTTCATCAAACATTCACCAGGGGATGAACCACTCTGTTTTTCTCTCCCAGACATCTTCAAAGGACAAGTTAGAACCCCACTTTCACCCCAGATAACTCAGGGAACCTTTTTTTGGGCTCTACGTAATTGGTACTAAATCTTTATCATGCTGCACTGGGATAATCTGCTTATGTGTTTTATACATCTGTTTCCTCCAATAGACTTGGAGTTTCTTAAGAATAAAACTTGTATTTTCTTTCTTTGTAAATTTGGTCACAAATTTTTATTTGCGTATTTTAGGTGCTTAATAAAAAGGAAAGGAGGAAGAGAGAATAAGAGAAAGAGAGGGAGGATGAGAAGCCAGTAAGGGAACTAGAGAGATGATTCTATTAAAAATTTTAGCCATCTTGGACAGAAAAATGTCATAAAATTCTCTTTCTAGTTGGTAATTTGGCATTATCTATGCATGCTGGAAAATATGCAATAAACAAAATGAAAAATGTTCTCTGACATCTCCCTCTTTGCTGGGATTGAAATGATGTTGCTAACACTTAGAAGACATATTTTAAATCAGGAGGCTTCCTTGGTATTCCACGAGATTTCCATCTCTCATTTGAACAGACACCAATAACATTGAAGAGTCTGTCCCTGTAGTGCCTTTACAATTTAGCACTTGTAAAAATGAGACTTTCCAGCTCATTAATTTGCTTACGCAAATAAAGCCCAGAACCAGTTAATCCTGAAAAGCGACTACTCTGTTTTCATCTTTTAATGATGGTTTTATGCCTGGACTTCAGTCTAAACTAAATAAAGGCTCTCTTTGACACAGACTACTCGTTTCCTACCTGGGCTGCTAAAAAAAAATCTACAGGAAAAAAAATTCCAACATACCATGGCAGGTTCTGGTCATTTCTTTTCCCGAAAATGGCAGAGGACATCATTATTCAATCCAAAGGCAAGGCTGCAGCAGCCAAGTCAAAGTGGTTCTCAATCAGCATGGGAATAGCAAGGTGCTTTAGATGACATTTCTGAGAGCCATCATCAGACTGGGGCCCTTCATTATATGTCCATGAGACCTCCCTGGGAGTACTTTTATGAAGCACTCTCATGTTAAGGATCTATGTCTATGGGCTACTGTGACAAAAACAAAAACAAAAAAACTGGCATTAAGTGTGTTTAATATCCCCATCCTTTAAGATGCAGAGGTGCAAAAGGCAGAGAATTAATTGACACTGACAGTAACTGAAAGCTTGCTGTTGAAATTCTCCCCCTTAACAACACCCATTCTCTAATTCCTGAAGCATGAAGTCCGAAGTCCATCCTCCTTAATGTGATAGTCATATCCCTAATGATTTTACCCCAACCCAGTCTGTCTCTTCTTCCTCCCCCTCCACAAGTTCATGGACCTGCCATGCCAGGCTGTGTACTGTTACTGAAGCCTGCCTCCCACTAATAAAACTCCACTGCCTCCTACTAATAAAACTCCACTGATTGGGGTATCCATCATAATGGCCAACCCCCATTTTTACCTTTCAAACCCAGGTTAAAATTATTCCATGATCCTGGGCTAACAAGTAAAATCAACCTTTACATCCTTTGTTCTCCCCTAGCACTCCAGGTTTCTTTTATAAAACATGCTTCTGCTTCCTAAGCTAAGAATTCATTGATTAGAACTTGTTCTGACAACAAGGTTCCCCCCATTAAAAAATGGGCAAAAGGCATGAACTGACACTTTTCAAAAGAAGACATACATCCGGCCAACAAGCATATGAGAAAAAGCTCAATATCACTGATCATTAGAGAAACGCAAATCAAAACCACAATGAAATACCATCTCACACCAGTCAGAGTGGCTATTATTAAAAAGTCAAAAAATAACATGCTGGCAAGGTTGTAGAGAAAGCGAACACTTACACACTATTGGTGGGAGTGCAAATTAGTTCAACCATGGTGGAAAGCAGTGTGGTGATTCCCCAAAGAGCTAAAAACAGAACTACCATTTGACACAGCAATTCCATTACTGGGTTTATATCCAAAGGAATATAAATCATTCTATCATAAAGACAGATGCACACATATGTTCACTGTAGCACTATTCACAATAGCACAGACAAGGAATCAACCTAAATGCCCATCAATGATAGACTAGATAAAGAATATGTGGTACATATACACGATAGAATACTATATAGCTATAAAAAAGAATAAGATCACGGCCTTTGCAGGGACATGGATGGAGCTGGAGGCCATTATCCTTAGCAAGATAACAGAAGAACAGAAAACCAAATGCCGCATGTTTTCACTTATGAGTGGGAGCTAAATAATGAGAATACATACACACATAGAGGCGAACAACAGACACTGAGGCCTCCTTGAGGGTGGAAAGTGTGAGGAGGGAGAATATCAGAAAAAAATAATCATTGAGTATTAGGCTTAGTACCTGGATGATGAAAAAAATCTGTACAACGAACCCTTGTGAGAAAAGTTTACCTATATAACAAACCTGCACATGTACCCCTGAACTGAAAATAAAAGTCAAAAAATAAAAACAGAGAAAAAATAAAAATAAAACTGGGTTTTCCACATTCAATCTGATAAAGAAACTGCAAATTGACTATGAATGAACTCCTAGTCACCTTGTTGTGACTAAACATACTGGAAAATGTGGCTTGACCTAACTATTCAGCCTAGTCAGATTGCTGCAGCCTCTGAACAAAAAGTTCCTCCAAATTCTAAAACTCTGATATTTTAGGAATATTCAGGGCATATATTGATAGAAATGTTTTAATACATTACAACTCTTAATTTCTGAAAATTATTGGGCCAGTTAATTACCTTGCAGTCATTCATACTTAGAGCAAACACATGTAGGCTCAGACATCTTACAGTGAGCAGATGAAAATAAAATGATCCTAAAAGTAATTTCCCAAGATTGGAGGGATACTACCTCTCCCTTGGCCTCTGTGCATGGTACATGACTCTATACCGATCCATTTGTTCATGGGGCCATCTCCCCATGACAGACTGAGCACAATTAAGGAAAGCAAAACTGTGTATTCATCTTTGTATCTCCAGTACTGCTGTGCACAGCAGATGTTCAGCAAATGTTTAACAAATAAATAAATGAAACCAGAAACTGGACCTAATATAGGAATTCTAACTTATTTGTAATAAGGGAACAGAAAACAGGCTAAGCTAAAGTTGAGCCATCCTTGGAATGGCAAGAATTACATTTATTGAGCTATTACTATTTGCCAGGCACTGAATATGGATTTTTTTTACTGAATCCCCCACAACACCACTGAATAAACCAAATTACACAAAGTAAAGGACTTGAGTCCAAGATTATACAGCCAGGAAGTCACAGATCCAGAGTTCCAACTCAAGGTTCTCTGAGTCAGGAGTACAAATACTTAACAACTATTTCACACTGCCCACTTACTGCTAACTTCTTTGTGATCTTAGACAAATCATTGCTTTAAATAAGTCTCATTTCCCACACTGGTAACATAAGAGGTTTTGGACCAGCTGTTCTCTAGTGTCTCATCCAGTTCTGAGATTCTATAATCCTATCAACCAAAATTAAAGAACATTTGCTTTTGAGCCAGCCTCTGTGACAGAAGATAAAATAGTTACCCATTTATGGATTCCTCTCATACCGGTGCAATAGTCTGTTTTGCAATGTAAAAGCCAAAACTGTACTCTGAAATACTTCAGATTTCTTTTGAAAAAGTCCAAGTAGGAAAGGCAATCAATTTTCTTCCTTTCCTCTAAAAAAGAAATTGTGTGAGAGAAACAAAAACATCTCAACAGAATAGGATGCTGTATCCAAGCCACTCTTTCAATCCCATGAAGGTAGATACTTCTTATAGAAAGAATTCATGCTTTTTATCTTTTTTTTTTTTTTTTTTTTTGAGACGGAGTTTCACACTTGTTGCCCAGGCTGGAGTGCAACGGTGCGATCTCGGCTCACCGCAACCTCCGCATCCCAGGTTCAAGTGATTCTCCTGCCACAACCTCCTGAGTAGCTGGGATTACAGGAGTGTGCCACCACTCCCAGGTAATATTTGTGTGTGTGTGTGTTTTGTTTTGTTCTGGAGATGGAGTTTCACTCTTGTTGCCCAGACTGGAGTGCAATGGCATGATCTCGGCTCACCACAACCTCTACCTCTTGGGTTCGAGCAGTTCTCTTGCCTTAGCCTCCTAAGTAGCTGGGATTACAGGCATGTGCCACTACCCCCAGCTAATTTTGTATTTTTAGTAGAAATGGGTTTCTCCATGTTGGTCAGGCTGGTCTCAAACTCCTGACCTCAGGTGATCTGCCCACCTCGGCCTCCCAAAGTGCTGGAATTATAGGCATGAGCCACCACATCCAGCCTTCATGCCTTTTTTTCTAACAATCTTTGAGAAATTTATCCCTGGTATACAGTTATCTAGGCAAACCTGCTAAGTGGAATAAAAACAGAACCATCTCTGCCAATATCATTGAAGAGTAAGTTAATAAAGTGTTGAGAAATTAAGACGAGGAACAATTGAGAATTCACTGGTTGTAAAATTTTGCACCAACCATAAGATGTGGGCAAGGGGAAGAGAATATAAAATGGGCATGAGGTCGGGCACGGTGGTTCATGCCTGTAATCCCAGCACTCTGGGAGGACGAGGCAGGTGGATCATGAGGTCAGGAGTTCAAGACCAACATGGCAAATATGGTGAAACCCCATCTCTACTAAAAATACAAAAAATCTAGCCAAGGATGGTGGCGTGTGTCTGTGATCCTAGCTACTTAGGAGGCTGACGCAGGAGAATCGCTTGAACCCAGGAGGCAGAGGTTGCAGTGAGCCGAGATTGCACCACAGTACTCCATCCTGGGCAATAGAGGGGAGACTCCAGCTCAAAAATAAATAAATAAATAAATAATAAATAAATAAATAAATAAAATCAGCATGAGTGGGACAGGTGGAAAGAACTGAAAAACAGTCCTAGTCTCAGCAGCATGGTCCTGAAAACATCTTGGTTTCCATGGGCTCAAGACTGTCCTCTTCTGACTAGAAACACTAGAGAAGTTTGGAGAAGGGGAGTTTAGAGGGTGATCAGGTCAGGACATCAACAGGGGGAACCTACCACATCTCTCCCCACTGGAGAGATACCTGTTGACCTGGCCTGGGAAAACCACCCCCCTCAGGCAGCATCAGCAGGAACCAAGGGAGCCTCAGCATCACCTATTAACCCAAGAAGACCAAAATAACACTGCACAAGTTCTGAAAGTAAATATCAGAACCTGTCATTGGAATAACAGCCCAGAAGTACAGACACTCCTCAACTTACAATGGGGTAATATCCTGATAATTCTATGTTAAGTTGGAAATATCATAAGTTGAAAATGCCTTAATACACCTAAGCTACCAAACATCACAGCCTAGCCTAGCTAGTGTTCAGGACACTCGTAGTGGTCTACAGTTGGGCAAATTTAACTGGCAACACAATACACTATTGAGTATTTGTTGTGTATCCTTGTGATTGTGTGGCTGACTGGGGGATGCAGCTTTTCATTGCTGACAGTACTGGGAGCAAGTATCATATTACATATTGCTAACCCAGGAAAACATCAAAATTCAATATTTGAAGTATGACTTCTACTGAATATATATGATTTCTGTACCATGGTGAGAGGGAATAATTATAAAGTGAAGCATAGGAATTTGAGGACCAAAACCCACATGTTAAATTTAGTCCTACCCTAGTTCCTAGGGTAACTACCTATGGAAATAAAAAAAAAAAAAATAGTAAATAGGACCTAGAGTCCCCAAACGTAATAGACAAAATGTTCAGAATACAATAAAAAAATCATCCATTATACTAAAAAACAAGAAAATCATAACTTGAATGAGTAAAGGTAATCAACTGACACCAACATGAAGATACATCATCAGATGTTGGAATTATCTGACTAGAGTTTTAAAGCAGTGCTAAGGACCAAACTGTGTTAGCCTAAAATTATAGGGTGAGTCCTAATCCCAATGTGACTGTATTTAGATAGGGTTTTACAGAAGTAATTAAGGTTAAATAAGGTCATAAGGATAGGGCCTTGATCTGATAATACTTGTGTTCTTATAAGAAGAGACACTAGGATGTTCATTCTCATTCTCATTCTCTCTCTCTCTCTCTATCTCTGCTACGTGTGAACAAAGTAAGAAGGAGGCCATCTGTAAGCCAGGAAGAAAGGTTTCACCAGGAAATGAATCAGTTAGTACCTTGCTCTTGAACTTCTCAGCCTTCAGAACCGTGAGAAAATAAATTCCTGGGTGGTATTTTAAACCACCCAGTCTATGGTATTTTGTTATGGCAGCATGAGTTGATTAAAACAGTCATCATAAAAA